AACATATAAAAATTTATCAAAACATTTCTTAAAGAAATATATATATATATATATATATATATATATATATATATATATATATATATATATATATATATATATATATATATTCATTATATATCAAAACCTCGGGATGTCATGTTCCAATACAGACCAAAAGCATAAACAGTACAACATAAGCCTTATAACAGTTATTTACAACTACTAGCCTATGATCCAAAAATCCCTCTTCATCATCCAAACTATGCTCTAGGTCCACTACCTGTAATATAAAAAGTTGAGTAGGTCAGGCTTGCGAGCCTGGTGAGCATATATGGTTTTCAACCTACAAATAATAAATTTATTAATTTCATCAACCAAAATAAATTTATTTATTATGTTTAAACATCAAACAATCAGCCCAAATTTTCACCCCCATTATTGTTAGATTAGTGTCTAAGTCTGTAACTATATTTGGTATGTACTTGACCCGGTTGTGCATGGTCCTTTTGGGTTGCCTTCACCGAAGCAACTTGACAAGGTAATTTGAGGAGAGAGAGAGAGAGAGAGAGAGAGAGGATATTATGGTTTATTAATATATTATAAGAATAATATATTAAAAGAGAAATCATGTTTATTTAGTATTGGTCATAAAATAATTAGGAATTAATTTGGTGACTAAAAGAGATTAATTAAATAAAGGGGCATAAACTGTCAAATGTATGATAGTTGAGTTTTAGGCTAAGGGAACCCAATGGACTAAGGGGGAACGAAATTATGATGAAGGATCATCATATTTTCGTCTAAGGGCCTTATTCCAGAAGGTTCCTTGTTGGGGTGCAAAGTTCTTCATTCATGACTTTGTAAATGTTTGACTTTTGTAAAACCCACTTTCATGTGGTGCTTTAGCCTTTAGACCCATTTGGTAGTTAGAGTGAGAGAGAGACATGTAAACACCTCTATAAATAGTGGGTTTGTCCACTTGTAGAGGTGTGCTTGAGAGATGTAGAAGTGAGTGTGTAAGTGTGTGTTAATTATGTAGTTTAGATCTAGATCCTTTTTGTAACACCATATACATTCAATATATCTCTTAAACACCCAAATCACCATGTTCAATTGTGCAAGCTTTAATTCCACATGCTGAACCATGTTCTTTTTCACTACAATTGGTATCAGAGCGGGTCTTCAAGATCAAGGTGATATTTGAAGAACGATTCTCGGTTTGGAAATTTTTGTCGCAATTTGATCAATTTTAGTGAGTCTCTCTCTATGATCTCTCTAATTCTTGTTGAATCGTGCGTAACGTTTTTGAATTTTGATCGATTTGTTTCATTGAATCTAATCCGTTTTTATCCTATTAGCGATTCAATAAATTTTTTGTTTAGATCAAGCCCAAACAAAATCAAAAAGAAAAACAAATTCATATTATCATAATTTTTTTGATTCACTGTTTATCCAAAAGTTACTGTTCGTAAGCCCACATTGAAATCCAATTTTGATAAAATTGTTGTTCATTGTATCAAACTCAGCCCAAATTTCCATTCGAATATTGTTCATTCCTATTGCTTCAAGCCCAAGTAAATCCTATTCATTCGTTACTGTTCAAATAACCAGATTAAAGCCCAAACTGTTAATCCATTTATTATATTCGATGAATCTGATTCTTATCATATGTCCGACATCTATCTTCTCATTCTAATCAAATCGATGACCAAGAACTTTTGTGTTGAACCAAAATTTATTTGTATCAAACTATCATTGTTGATCGCTGTTACTGATTCTTCCCTGTCAAGATTGTTTCGATCGAGTTTTTCTGTTTTTGATTTCTCTCACTGTGAATCGAATATTATTTCAATCGAATCTTCTTTGAATCAATCTTAGTTTTTCTCTGACTGAATCTTTGAATTATACTTCTAATTCAAATCGAGTTTTGATTTGTGAATTGAGTCTTGTAGAAGAATGAATTGTTTTGATCGGTTAGTGAGAAGTCAAAATTGACGGTCAAAATTTGATGTTCTTGAGAATCGATTGAATATACAGTGTTAAATCACTTAAATCGATTATGATTAAGATGTTGAATGAAGTATTGGTTATTGTGTTGTGTATCGATGCATCATTCCGATAGTCAAAGATAAAAAGTCAAAATCGGAATTTGATTTAGATCATATACTGAAAAAGGAACTTGGAAATGGAATCAATTATAAATCTGGTATGAAGAACTGGAATCGAATGATTTAAAGCACCGATTTGATCGATTTTTGGGTTTGAGGTCAGTTTTCGAATGATTAATGAAGAACGAAGGATGTTTTTGGGTCAAGATTCGATTGGTTTGGATGAATGTTGATGATTTGGGTTGATACCTAAACAAACGAAGTCGATGCTTTAGGAAGAACTGTTAATAGTTCTTGATTTCGAAGAATACGATTGAGAAGATTTGGGATACAGTGATGAAAAAGCGAAGATTTTGATTTGGTCAAAGTGATGGAATCAATGTTTGATTGTTGGGAATGATTTGGGATTGTTGATAGCTTCGATTTTGAAGAAATCGTTGATGTACGAAGGTTTTCAATATGGTTGATGATTTGGGAACGAACAGGGAATTTTTGGAACTAATGATTGATGGTTGAATATAAGAAGAAAAGAACAAAGAATGATTTTGGAAATCAGTGGCGAAGGGTTAATGTATGAAGGGTTGATATTGGGATGAAGAACTGAAAGAAGCGAAGAACAAATTTTGGTGTCTGTGATTTGGATTCGAAGTGTGTTTGTATGGAATATGACACGAAGGGGCATTATGGATACATACGAAGGGGTGTTTAGAAGTTGAATATTCGAAGGGTATATTCTGAATTTTCGAAGGGGGTATTTTGGAAATTTATAGGAAGATACTGTTCATTAATGAGTCTTCGTATGCTTCGTCCTTCGAAAGAATAGTGCAAATGACAAAGTTTCAAAAAAGGCCCCTGAACCTTCGAATTGTTTACACTTCGCAAATTAAAGCATGTTTCGTATGTTTGACACTTTTCACCCAACTTCGAAATTTTTTTGGTGCTTCGCAATTTTGCAACATGGTCTTCGTATGTTTGAGAAAAAGGGCAGAATTTACGAAGATGGTCCCTGAAACTTTGAATTTTTGGCAGTTTGCACCCAAATTCGAAAAAGGACTAATTTTTGCTGGAAATTGAAGATTGTGCATTTCAGGCCCCTGCAGTTTGTGCAAATTGATGCTTTCCACCCAGCTTTGGAAAAGGGGGAGAGTTTTGCATATTTTGCTATTTTGGGCGCAACGGGTCACTGCAGAATTTTGAAATTGACAATTTCTACCCTTTTTGAGAAATTTTGTCAAAGGCGATCCGTGAACGACAATAAAAATTGAATACTTTTTGGGTTTTCCGGATTGAAGTATAAAGTTTATACCACATGTTAAGGGGGAGTTTTGACACGAAAAATTCCGAATAGAGCACGTTCTTTTTCCTTTGGAGTTTTATAATCAAATTTCGATTATAAAAAGGGGGAGAAGTTTTATATGGAAATTCGAACTTCAATTTTTCATATTATGCGGATTTGAAGACCGAAGTGATCTTGAAGTTTTGAAGCCACGAGATGATGCAATTGGAAGTTCGGAAGTGATGTATTCGAAATGGGTTTGGATTTATTGAAGATTTTTGGGGTGTGTTTTTATGCGCAACTATTGGGTGATTATTTGGAGTTTGGAATACTCTTAATCATTCGTTGCTGCTCGGATTGTATGGTCTCACATCCTAAAGCCCAAATTGAAGAGTTATAGAAGAATTGAAGATTGAAGTTCGTTTCGACATGTGTCACCTTTGAGGCTCGAACCGCGTAGTGCTTGATTTTGGAAGATTTGAAGTGGGTCATTCATTCCTAACTTTGAGGGGGAGAATGTTGGGGTGCAAAGTTCTTCATTCATGACTTTGTAAATGTTTGACTTTTGTAAAACCCACTTGCATGTGGTGCTTTAGCCTTTAGACCCATTTGGTAGTTAGAGTGAGAGAGAGAGACATGTAAACACCTCTATAAATAGTGGGTTTGTCCACTTGTAGAGGTGTGCTTGAGAGATGTAAAAGTGAGTGTGTAAGTGTGTGTTAATTATGTAGTCTAGATCTAGATCCTTTTTGTAACACCATATACATTCAATATATCTCTTAAACACCCAAATCACCATGTTCAATTGTGCAAGCTTTAATTCCGCATGTCGAACCATGTTCTTTGTCACTATAATCCTTGGGCTGCTTGGTGGCTAAGTTATCCATTAGGGTTTAGACTGAAACCCTAGCCCGTTGTTGGGTCCTAGTCCGTTAATCCCGGAGTTTTCAAATACATTTAAATAATGTTGTTGGGTCCTAGTCCGTCAATCCCATTTTTTGTATTATTATTGTTGACATGTCCGTGAAAGACGATAGTGTTTTCATCGCCTTCTACAACTCATTTGACCTAGGACTTTTGCTTTATGTCTAGTGCCATTAGTTTTTCGAGTTCTGCAATTTTTTTGAAACTATCCCTTCACATCGACGCTTCTTCTATGTTGAGTGTCCTGGATTCAGCTTCATGATCTAATCATTCTACCTCCGATTTGAGTTCTATTAAAGTAACCTCGTCTATGGGATGTTATGTTGCTCTCCACTTTTTTTAAAGGTTCTTTAACGTGTCTTAGTTTTACCGCCATGTACTGGTATGGGGTTCCAAACCCAATGAAATTATCCCAACTGGTTATGAAAGTCTTCTCAAAACCATCTCTCAATAACCAAGAGTTGAAGAGCCTGAAAGGTGGGGGGCCGAGATCCAGTTTAGTTGTAGAGAGTAGTATGAGCAGTGATCGGAGAGTTCTCGTGGTAGCGTGGTGACGGGAGTTTTAGGAGCAATATCAAGAAAACTTGGACTTATTAGAAAGCAATCTATTTTTCTCGGTTTTTGTGTCTTCATTCTGAAAGCATGTATATCTGAAACCACCCATTTTAAGGTCAGTGAATCCCAGATCTTGTATGAAATTGTTGAAGTCTCTAGTTGTACGAGAGCATCAAAATTGAGTTGAATCTCTCTTCAGATCTCCTTACAGCATTAAAGTCACCCATCATGATCCACACACCATCAATAGCTTGTATGATTCCTTTCAGTTCTTCCCATAACAGTGCTTTCTCACGTACCGGTTGTGGTCCATTAATATTAGCAAACATTAGTGGTCTCGGGATGCCTTCCCAAGTGCCAATATTGATCAGGTAATTACAAGAAGATATAACTTCAGTAGAAGTGAACATCTTATTATCCCACAGACTTAGTAAACCTCCAGACCTACCATAAGAGTTAGTACGATTGACACCAAAATTAGTAGATCCCCAACAAGCCCTTGCATCGATAATCTCAACATCTAGGAGTTGTGTTTCTTGAATTGCGATAAATGATAACTTATGTTTTCTTTTAAGTCGTCTAATCCATGCCACCTTATGCTCACCCCCAATATCGTTAATGTTCAGAAAAAGGAAATTCATTGGGGAACATTGTGCTCACCTGATACACCAAGGATTTCAGCTAGGATGCGATTATTGGGGTCGATCTTGAACCTAATTAGGGAACCCACTACTGCAGTTGCTTCAATTTCTGTTGATTCCACCACTAGGTCATTTAACTGACCATTATTTGTACTTTGTTGACACACTGGAGGAGGAGTAGATTTAAAATAGGGAAAAGGGTCGAAGCACTCAGATTGGGGTAAAGAAGTTGGGAAAGTAACAGTTGTCTTTGGGCCCAAAGTCTGAGGATCCGAGGATGTTGGGTTCATCTGGTTATCTAGGGCGGCAACCCGGTCCGTCTTAACATTGTCTTTTTGAAATTTCTCGAAAATTGAGTGTCGCTTCGTAAACCCTATTCTAGAAAAATCGGTCTCTCCTCACCGAAATTGTTGGTCTTCACCAATGATTCTATTCTCTGGTGATGATACATGTCATCTTTGGCCACCGATTCATGGTGGTGTTGGGTCATCACCGCCTTCATTAGTCGTTTCTTTCATAGAGATTTAAGATTCCCATCCTGAACGATTTCCCCCTCCTCCATTTCATTAATCCATGTTGCAAATACGCCTTCATCTTCTTCAGTAGAGTTCCAACTGTTTGACTTACTTACCATGGATTCATTTTCAGTTTATTCATCCAGGTCCTGATCTTCATATGAATGTTCTTCATTGTCAAACTTGAATGGGAACCATGGTTTGTCTTCGTATTCAATGATTCCAACGTGAAAAGAGTGGCCATCAGCTTCCACCTAAATCTAATCATTGAGTTTTGTTAATTTGTCTGTGAGTATGGCTAACTTCACCACAGAGAGGTCAACGCGATTTGTGATATGGTCTATAGGCCCCATAATTTTCCTGATCTTTCCCACAATAGCAGAGAAGTTGGAATTATTCCATATTCGGAGAGAGAGTCCCACTATCCTAATCCAAGTTACGTGTTCGAATTTTGTGACTTCAGTGAATCCCATCTTCATCCATTTGAATGTATCTTTCCAATTCCTCTCATTTTCTAGGAGTTCTCTTGCAACGACTGTGGAATCGAAGCTAATTAATGCAAGCATCCCTCCGAGGTATTTGACTGAAGGGCGGTGTTCAATGTGGATGGAGATAAGAGTTGGCATGTGACCAAGGTGATCCAGGGATTTAGCTTCGCTGATGAGAGTGGATCGGTGCAGATGTTTGGTGAATGTTTTTGATGGGCGGCCTTAAGTTGTAGCGACCAGTAACTTGAGCATAGGTTCTATGATCAGTAAGTCCACCTCCATTGATTTTAGTGTTTTGTCCCGGGGGACAGTAGTTCTTGAATTCTTGTTGATTTTGTTGGGAGGTAGTGGAGGTGTTTTCTGGCCATGCCTTGCAACGTTAATCTCAAGGTTGTTGTTCCTACATGCAACACCGTTCAATTTCGATTCCAAAGCTTTGATATCAGATACCCTGATGAACCGTATGAAGCCATAATTTTCCCAGTTCTTCCCTTTATTACTCCCGAAATAGATATCTAATAATCTTCCCATTTGAGAAAATATTTTCTTGAATTCTGCTTTTTTGCTCTGTTTGGTATGTTAGTGACGAAGAAAGTGGTTTCCTCCATCGTGTTTCCGTTGGACGCCGCCACCGTTTTACGCCGCCTCACTTTCGTCCATTTGTCTTCCATGTTGAGAGAGTGATTTACTTTTACTTAAATACAAACTCCTCTTATTTGATTTAAATAAACTTATTTTGATTTGATTTTCTTTTTCTTTTTTTTCTTTTTTTTTATTTTCTCATTTTCTCATTTTTTTTGCCTTTTGTCTTATTATTATTATTATTATTATTATTATTATTATTATTATTTAAAATTATTATAGTTTAATTAATTATGTATTTTATTGTTAATTATGTGTGTTTAGTATAGAGTTGTATATTTATTTTTACGAACAATGATCTCCTATCTTTTGTTTAATAAAAAATACGGTTTGTATGTGTTGTTTTTTTTATCCGTCTATGTTTATATCATTTTTCCATTCAGACTATCCGTGTGTTTTTTTTTCTATTCATACTATTATTGGCTTATTTTTCTTCGTTCGGATTATCCATATGTTATTTTTTTCAGTCGGATTATTTCAATGTTATTTTTTATAATCAAATTATTCATTTGTTATTTTTTCGTTCAGATTATCTCTGTGTTATCTTCGTATCCCATCTATTTTTGTGTTATTTTTTAAGTTTCCTATGTTATCTTTTTCGGGCAAAATGACTAAGAAGGGTAACCAAGTGTTAATTTTGTTCACATTTGGTCCACTTTTTTTTTTATGCAATACACTATCGAACTTGTTGTTTGTATTCACCATAACCCTTTTGACTGGCTATCACAGAAGATGAACACAAACAATAAGTTCGATGATATATTGCGTACAAAAAAAAAATGAGTAAACTTGAACAAAATCAACAGTTGATTATCCTCCTTAGTCATTTTCCCTATTTTCCCAAAAGTAAGGTTTCATTTTATTTTACTAAAAAAAACACTTTTTTATATAATGAATCAGGCCTCAGTTTTTATATTATACTCATTGTTCATTTTTTTCCTCGTATCAACGTTATCATCAGAAAGGTTCCACTGATACTCCTTAGATAACTCAAATAAATCCATCTCTAGACCTACTAGGATATTCAAAAAAAATAAAATATAGTTTCGTTCATTGATAAAGGTATATATTCACCATCCTCGTCATTGTAAAAAAAAAAACTCTATAGATGTCCTCCCCGAAATCATTAGAAAACATTTAACAAGAGATGCCATGAGTCTAATTAAGATGATCAACATCAACTTTAGCATTTGATGTTGATGTTATACTTGTTTGTCGACTTCACATCCATACGAGAAGAACTAATTAATCATCAAAACCTATTTAATGTTTTTATTATAGTTATTTGTACTTCAATTTGCACCTGTTGAATGATTTTGCCGAAAATAGTTGAAGAACCCTTTTATTCCCTAAAACATGTAATTGGCCTTAACATATACTATCTCATTGATTTGCAATTCATATTTTTCAACTCATTTGTAATATTTGAGAAAATGATCAAGAAAGGTAACCAACTTTTGATTTTGTTCGCATTTAGTCTTTTTTCTTTATGCAATATATGATCGAACTTGTTGTTTGTGTTCACCATAATCTTTTTGACCCGCTATCACCTGTAATAATCTGTAAAAAGGTTATTATGAACACAAACAACAAGTTCGATAACATATTGTGTACGAAAAAAAATATAAATAAAATCAACAATCGGTTAGTTTGATAAGTCATTTTCCAATAATAATGAATAGTTAATGTCCATTAATGAACAATAGCCACTATGCTTTTTATTTGTTGTTTTAGATGGAAGATACTTGAATTGTAAATTTTAATGCCACATACTTGGAATGCCTTGGATGGTTCATTTCTTAAAAGTTTTTACTTTTGATAAATTATTTTTTCACTAATTTTTATTTGATAAAAAGTTCTTTATCAAATAACTAACATTTTCAAAAATACTTTTTTAAATTGACTAAGTTTATTTTTTTTATAACTTATTAATTTACTAACATGTCACTTAATGCCCATTATTAGTCACTAATTTTTATTTGATAAAAAGTTTTTATCAAATACCATTTACCATTCATAAGTGGCATTTACATATCGTAAACCTATCAATATTACCTTAGGCCTAGTCATGCATACTTATACCAATTACGATAGTAAGCTATCAATATTATCTTAGGCTTAGACCCCGTTTGATACACATCTTTCCAGGTCCAAACAGATCTTTTTGGTTGAATGGACCGGAAAGATTGTTTGATTTACACAAAAGAATGGGTTTTTCCCGGTAAGATATGTCTTTCCCAGAAAGCCCCAAAATCATATCTTTCTGGCTGAATGGGCTGGAAAGACAATTATACACCAAACTCCGTCTCTTTCTTTCTTTATTGGATTATTAATTTTTTTAAATAATTTTTTTTAATTTATTTTTTATTGAATTATTTTTTTTTTCATCATTTAGCACAGTCAATCAGATGTACAATCAAACAGCATAATTTCGTTCCCAGTCAGAAAACTTTCTCACACAGCACTTTACCAGACAGCACTTTCCCAAACAGAAACTATCAAACGGGACCTTAATCATATATACTTTACAAATTACGATAGTTTAACATAATTCAGTTATTTACAATGATATTTTAATACTTAAATATTTTATCCTACTTGGATTTTACTTTACTTGGATATCATGTTATGCATTGCATATAACTTACACATCCAATATTTTATTATTATATATTAGTCGTAAGATCCTAATGTTATACGGATTCGTTAAAATAAAAAATAAAATATGAAGGTTTAAACAAAAATTTAATTAGATTTGAAATTTAAAATTTAAAATTTGAATTTAAAAGAAAACATATTAAATACTATATAAGTTGTAATATTGTAATTTATTAGTTATTTAAGACAATTATTAGTTGTGGTGTAAATATAATGTGTTAATTAAGAAAACATTTAAAAAAAATTTAAAAAAAATTAAATCAGAAAATAACAAATAGAAAAGACATTTATTCAAAAATACCAAAAAATGACATGTGTTTAAGTTAATAAGAATGATATGTGACAAAATTATTTTATTAAGAAGGATGTTTCACTTTTACCATCATTTTTAACCTTGCTTTGAACCATGCTACTATAATGATATTTACACATCCACGTGTAAATTCCAATCAACCATATTTATATAACATGGTTGACAACATGCATGAACATTAGTTTGATGTTTAGCATTATAGAACATGTACACTTGTAATCACATAACTAACCTTATGAATACAACATGAATTCAAAAATCGGTTGCAATTTTCATGTATCCCATACAAGTGTCACAATCCATGAAATTATAATTCTTTTCACATAAACTCCACATAATGATTTCACCAATTAACAATCATAAGCTTCACAATTTGTATACATACTCCATTAAATGTCAATCACCCGTATTCATAGAACCATCATCCCTTTTCACAAGGCATTCACATTTTATGATAATCCATCCATATAACTCAACTTCATATCACATTTTGTTGAAACTCTTGGATAAAGAAACAACTTACTTTCAAAGATGACATGTATAGATAATTAACTAGCATCATGAATAAAACAAATCTATCAATATACACATTTAATAGCACCAATTTGCATATAAACCCTAGAATCATATCCTTTATTTTTATTATTAATAAACTTCAAATCCATTAATCACACATTTGCAACAAACTATAACCTATTGCGATCCACACTCATTATATCTATAATCATCTAGATTTAGTAATAATCATAAACGTAACAAATACTCCACTACAATTCAAGCCAATTAATATCTTCTCAAAATATAAAAACAACAACGAACCATTTCACTTCTCATTTACCAAATCTCCAAACCCTAATGTACCCATCGGCATGTGTAGTGACAACTTTTTGCATCCCAACAGCCAAACAATTGATTGAAGGTCGGGAAGTTCTTGGCATTAAATCGATCCGTGTATCTTCCAAAACTCTTATTCCTTTTTTTCTTGTAACCTTTGATTGATGATGATTTTGTGATCTATATAACTTTCTACTACTTTCATCCATTATACAACTTGACAAAATGTTGCCATTTTGTGGGTCCACAAGGCGTAAAACACCATCTATTCCTCCTATTGCTAATATCGATGTGTCATCACGCATGTGTTGGATTGAAGTTAAGACATTTGGACTCACTCTCACCTCCCATACTCGTTTCATCATCCTGAAAATCACAACATTTTATTAATTTTGGAATCAATGAAAGAACTTTCCACTTCTTGCAACTCATATTGTTGAATTTTGAGTAAATTACACGAATGGTCCCTATGGTTTGGGGTAATTTGCACGTTTGGTCTCTAACTTGTTTTTTTAACTCGAAAGGTCGTTTTTGTTGCGCGTTTGGTCCCTATCTTACCTAAAAAGACTATTTTGCCCATGATTTTTTAAATTTATTTAAATAAGATTGGATAGGTAAGGTAAGGTGAGGTGGAAGTGAGGTTGGATGTGTGTTTATTTAAATAAATTAAAAAATCAAGGGCAAAATAGTCTTTTTAGGTAAGACAAGAACCAAACGCGCAACAAAAACAAACAGTAAGGACCTTCCGAGTTAAAAAAAAATAAGTTAGGAACCAAACATGCAAATTACCCCAAACCATAGGGACCATTCGTGTAATTTATCATTGAATTTTTCATGTATGCAACTTTTAATGATCATATCATATTGACAATACATACAAAGCATCATCATACCGTAGGTCCCACAAAGATGCTCTCCCTGCTCTTGATCCAACAAATAATATTTTAGAACTTGAGTTGTAACACAATGTGCTTAAATCTGTTACACATGACACATAAAGTCAAACAATTGACTTAATATATATATAGAGGTGTTCCTTTTTGTCTTGATACATTTTCCCCAATTATGTTATCATTTCCTCAAA